TCCCCACCCCCACCCCCAGAATGGCCATACTACCTTAACATGAGGGAAGAAGGCTCGGAACCAAGGGGAGGAAAGGCCCAATCTTCTCCCCTTGTTTTGTTTAGAAAATTCTCTCCGACAATACTTAGTGGCATTAACCTGTTTTTTTCAGAGAGACTGCAGGGCCACCACCGGCAGAGGGAGCCCCAAATCACACAGCCGGCCCCTGGCTGCCTCTTGCGCCTGAAACAGAGCCCCAGCTCACCAGCTGCTGCACCAGGAAGAAATCCTTCTTATAGATGGCAATGCCCTTGTTGAACAGCTTCCTCTCAGCCATCTTCCACTGGTCAGAACCTGTAAGGCAAAGCGGGAGCCAGGGTTAGTGAGGTGGATGGGACTGTGAGTGACCAGCAGAAAAGTGTGAAGTCATCCGTCCACGGTCTCTGCAGCCATTCAGAGCTTGATCCATATTTCTGCTTCCGCCACTTACTAGCCTCTGACCCTCAATCACCTCACTTGGGAACTGGGACCTGGTCACACAAGCCACCTCACCAGTTGTGGTGCAGACTCAAGGAGATAATGCACATGAAACCCTTGCTGCTCTGCCTTGCACACACAAGAGGTACCACTCAACAGGGATCGGTGGCTGCTGTGATTATGCCATTTGGTCACTGTCCCTTTAAAAGCACAGTGCCCAGGATGGGACACGGCACCCCAGGGGTTGTCTAAGTTCCAAGCACCGGATGCCAATTGGGATGGCACTCCCCAGATTCCTGTCCCTTGCACCTTGCCATGGACTTTTTTGCCTGCATGGGCTCCCACCTGCCCACGCCTTTCTCTCTGCCCCTTCAGGGCACAGGAAGCCCCTTGAGAACTACCCCATCTTTGGTGTTAGTTCTTTCACTCCGGCTCTTGGCTTATCTGCCCCCGACCTCCTCACCCCCATCCAGGGCTGTGACTCAGCACCAAGCTTGGCCCCGCTGATGCTGGAGACCTTGAGGCTCCAGGTCCCAGGCTCACCTGTGTAGTGATAAGTTGCCAGTGGGTGGTTATGGGGCCGCAGGGGCTTCTTCAGTAGCAGCTTATTCAGCGTTTCCTGAAGGGGAAGTGAGGAAAAGGTCAGTGCCCTGCAGGGGTCTCAGTGGTAGGCTGAGCCTCCTAGGTGCCAGGCACAATTCAGAAGGCCTCTTCAACCCTCTGAGTAGTAAGGTGGGCATTTATTTTTACCCTGTGTAACTGCTGAGGGGCAAGAGGTTTGGCAGGATGGCAAGATCACGGAGGGTGGAGCTGCTCAGGAACCAGGCCAAGGGCCTCTTAAGAGAGAACATGTGGCCCCCAGGACAGACAGCCACAGGTGGAGAAAGCCCTCAGTGACAGCCTTTCTGAGGGCGGGGACCCACTGACCCAGAATCAGGGACTAGGGTAGACAAGAGGACCCTGTGCAGCGAAGTCTGGAGTTTGGAACTACGACTACCTTCGGTGGAGCCCCTACAACCCCCAACCTGGTCAGACCCTCCTGCCTGCCTCCAATCAGTAGGCCAGCAGCCCTGGCTCCTGGGCAGCAGACATGGATCCATGCCAGCCTCCCTCAGGGTCCCTCCCCCCACCAGGGCCATCGTCTCACCAGGATGTCTCCCCTGGACTCATGCAGACAGTGCAGGGCCAGCTCCTGGTTGGTGCCAGCTCCAGGGAAAATACTGGAGCAGGCGGCTGTCAACAGGTCTTCCACTGGAGCAAGCGTGGGAGGGGAGGAGAAGAAATCTCGTTCAGGGCCTAACCCACCCACCTGTCCAACAGCCCACCTTCACTTGCTGGTGCAGGCCCCCTCTCACCTTGCCTCTGCTTCTCCCGGCTGCTCTCTAGGTCCTCCCACGGCTGCCACACCAAGTCGGCCTTGTGGGGGTCTGCAGCTGCCAGAGCACGATCCCTTATGGAGGGGATTTCCGCTTGGAACCGGGAGCCCACGTTGATCCGTCTGCAGGGGTGGAAAGGGCAGGGAGTGAGGCCTCACCTCGCGGGCACAGGGAATCTTTCTCTCTGGGATGGGAGAAGATGCAGGGGGTAGTCCGCAGACGCTGAGCACAGCAAGACCTCAACTGAGTGTAAGGAATTTGGCTTCCGTGAGAACAGCCTGGCAAACGGGACCTGGTAGTGCCAGAAAGACAAGGCCCAGAGGTTGGAAAGGGGAGAAGCTTCAAGTTTACAGATAGGGAAAGAGTCTCTTGGACTGCCCTGCCGATACTCAGAGGCAAATTCAAACCGAGCTGGTCCTTTCCTTTAGGGTGGGGACAGTAAAGCCCAGAGCCAGTTGCAGAATCTCAGAGGCTGTTCAGCCCTCTGTGGGCCCCACACAACCCTCCTCTTCCTCACAGGGCCTGCGTGCACTGGACCCCATCGGCCACCCTCGTACCATAGGCCAGAGGAAGGGCTGCACTTACGGCTCGATGCTCACTGGGGTGGCCTCTCCCATCACAGAGAGGACAGGTGGGGTGACTTCAGCGCTATCTATGGGACAAAAGGCACATCGGTGAACGGCACCCTCCTGCCTTCAGCAAGCCGCCCCTCCCCCACCCCACCCTACATGGCTGCTCTGTTTGCACAAGAGCCATGGCAGTGACTCACAGAGACTGGTACTTGGAAATCAGGCACGGTGAATCCTGGCTCCTCAGCCTGCAACTGTGACGACTAACTGTGACTTTGCCAAGCACGTGGGTGCTTCTGTTTTCACACCTGCTGCAAGGGGCTATTACTACCTACCTCCTAGGGTTAATGCGAGGACTGAATGAAATCATGCACAAAGCCTCGCCCTCAATAAATATTAGCTACTACTACTACTACTACCACCACCCAAAGCTGGGTCCCTGCCCCAGGAGCTCCCATACTACAGAATTAGCTCCAACATTAAACTATGCTTGCTCTAGTAAAGAAGCTGAAACGTTTGGCACACTAGCAAGGCAGTGAAGGAGAACCCTGTTTATATCTCCTCACTTCCATGCTGGATTCTCTGCCTCAGTTTCTCCTGAACTAATCTTAGTGCCCCACATGGAGGCACTCCCTTGCTCCAAAAACCTTTGCTGACCTCCCCCCCTTTGCAACTTGCAGCTCCTCAGCTCGGCTCACTCATGCAGCTCCCCTTTCATCTATGCCTCCCACCACCCCCTTGCCCGGACCCTGGAACCTAGCTGACTGCTTACTCATGGCTCCTTGCTCTTCCTGCACGGTCCTACCTCCAGGCCTTTCCACCACTCATTCCGGTGCCGAGTATGCCCTCCCCACCTCCTTCCTAGTTCAAGCTCTTAGCTCTAGCCCCACCCTCTCCTGGAGGCTTTCTCACCACCCCAGGCTAGTAGGCTCTGCAGGCTTTGGAGGTTAGGGTCTCCCTCACTCACTGGCTGTTGATCCCACTGTGCCCAGAACCTCTGCTTTTCTGTCTCCCAGGTTTCCATGTCAACTCCCTAATGACCCTGTACTCTCTTTAGAACTGACAGACCGGTGCTGTCCCATACACTACTGGAGCCTTCACAGGACCCAGTTCAATGCTTTACACCCAGGTACTCGATAAATGCTCATGGATGGACAGGCCTCTCTTTGTTGCCAGTCTGGTCTCTACGGTGATTTCTTCCTGCGCAACCCAGGCACGGAGAGAAGCTTGGAAGGTACGTGGGAGGGTGGAATGGAAGGCCAGCCAGCCAGCCCAGAGTGAGCCATTTCTCACCCACAGACACCAGGGGGCACCAGAGAGCTAGGGCATGGGAGGTCAGGGTCAAAGGGTAATCTAGTGATGGGAGGCTTCACCCTTGTTCTACTACCTCTGGAGGTGTTTACTCCCACTTAATCCTCCACCACACTACGAGATAAGATTATCCCATTTTTCAAAGGAAATGGATCTTTTTGTGGAGTGGCCCACATTTTTCAACAGTTCACCACCCGGGCCAGCCAAAATGTCTGCTCTTGGCCAAAACAACTATTTAAGAGCCCCAGGAGGCAGGATCTACCACATAATATTAAGAGCAAACATGATGCGTCAGGCATGGTGTTTTAAGTGCTTTACGTTTGTTGCTGCCTCTGAACCTCACCACAACCCCGTGAGTTGGCTATCAGGTTGAACATAGGAAACTGCTATTTGTGGATCCAGAAATAGATTAAATTGGCAATTTCACCAACAACCAAGTACTACTAATATCCTCAATTAAATACTAAAGAAACTGAAGCGCAGAGAGTTTCAATGACTTGCACAGGGAACATAACAGTAAATTGTAGAATTGGGATTTGAACCCAAGCAATTGGGCTGATACCCCCTACCCCATCCCTGCCTGTTCTTGAACCAAGACAACCACCTTTTCTCTCTCAGAGAAGAGACAGTGGAGCCCCTTTTCCCAGTGTTCCAGCCAATCCCCAGCAGCCTTATCGTCAGAGTCTCGTTCCTGCCCATTGCCCTCCCTCCCCACATTCCCTGCCCCCATGGCCCCTGAGGGTGGGTCACTCACTAGACCGGAGCAGGGTGCGATGGGCACTCTTTGGCGTGATGGGAGGAGGGGCTGGGATGCTGCTGGTTGACATGATGGCATTGAAATAGAGGCCGGAGCCTTCCCGCACAGGACTGAGGATTGGGGGAGGGGTGTAGGGGGGTAGCTCAAAACTCCGCTCAGAGGGGTGGTCAGCTAGGCGGACAGGAGAGCGCAGGTGGCTCTGGTATGGGGTGATGTTGGAGTAGACGGGAGGGGCAATGAAAGTGCCCGCCTTGGTAGGGATGATCAGGGGCTCAGGCCGTGGCCGCTGCTTTGGTTTTCGCACTGAAGGTTCCCCTTCCAACTTGACATTCATGTCATCAGCCTGGAGAAGGAAACAGAACCAAGATAGCTCAGACTCTTATGTGCTGGGAAAACTGAAGTCTTGACCACTGCTGGTCAGTCTCACCTTTCGAACTTAGCCTGCCCACCACACCCACCAACGCAAGCCTGAGACAGGGAACAGGTCCAAAAACCCTTCTTACTGTCTCCACTAGGGCAGGGGTCAGCAAACTGTTTCTGTAAAGGGACAGATAATAAATGTAGGCTTTGTGGGCTGCACCCAGTCTCTGTTACATATTCTTCTTCTCCTCTTCCCCACTCTTTTTAAATAATCCTTTTAAAATGTTAAAAAAAAAAAAAAGATACAAGGTAAAATCTATTCTTACATCTGGATATGGCCCACAGGCCATAGTTCCCAATACCTAATGTGAAGTATGCTATTGGACAGAGAACTGTAGTAGTTAAGGGCCCGGGCTCTGCAGCTAGATTGCTTAGAATGGGCTCTACCCCCTTTACTTATCACTTAAAATGTCTTAACTTCTCTGTGCATCATCATTTTTAACATGGGAACAGTAAGTACCTACCAAATGGATTAGCTATGAGGACTAAATGAATTAATATGTGGAAATCACTGAGAACAGTAACTGACATGTAGTAATTACTCAATAAATACTGGCTGCTATCAAGCTGTATATTAGATGGAGGTCCCTACTATGTGTCAAGACCTGAGCTGGGCATGGGACCACAAAAGGAAGAAGACAGTCCTGTCCTTGCAGCACTTTTTCTCATAAAATTAGTCCTACGATAACAGACCAGCCTACTTATGCTGTCAAAGGTTAGCCCTCCTAGCTTACACTTCTCCCTGCTCGATATGCCTCATGGGTCTCCATGTAGAATAGAGGGTAGAGCTGTAAGGGAAGAGAAGCCTTTCTCTGCTCCATCCCTATCCTCTCAAAAGAGAATGGAACCCTATGAGGGTGAGCAATATCCAGATCATCTCCCTGAGTACAGAGCTGGCCCATAGGTGAGGTTGGCCACATTGACTAAGTAGACCTGGGAAGAGTAGGCTTTCCCCCTCTCCCCGTGTCCAGCTCCCACAACACCTTTCAGCAGAGGGCACTGACTGTCCATGAGGTCTTGGCCATGTCCTTTACCCACTTGTGCCCTCTGGAAGAAATGAAATTTTTCATTCTTTCTCCCTTAGGGGAACAAGATGATTGCACAGAAAAAAATGCAGTGGAACCAAAGGCCCCAAACTTGTTAGACAAGAAATCCAATATGAACTCAGTTAGCCGTAATGATTTGTAATTTTGTAATAAGGGAAATGGAATTAAACTATTTTGAATATTTGACAATATTTTTTGTATTCATTTTTTTTAGGTGTGATAATATTGAGGCTATGTTGAAGGAAGGAAAAAAGGAAGGAATCTTATATATAATGTACTTCAGATATAAACCTAAATATTTATGAACTTAATGATATGATGTTTGGGATTTGCTTCAAAAAAAAAAAAAAAAAACCAGTGGTAAGGAAAAGTAGAGATACAAATAAAAAATGATTTGGCTATATTTTGAAAACCATGAAATCTGGGTGATGGCTAAATATTTAGGTTCAATTTACCATTCCCTATACTTTTGTGCAAGATTGAAATATCTATAGTACAAGGAAAAACAAATAACTAAATAAAAAAAGTAACCAAAAAAATAAACATCTTCCTAAGCCTGGTGTAGTGTAAGTGCTCACAGGCGGGAGTTGCAGGAGATCCAAATTCCAGGGCTACCTCTGTCATTACTTGGCTGTATAAACATAGGTAAGTCTCTGGCCTTTTCTGGACCTATTTCCTCAACTATGAAATGGGTATGTTGAGCTGTGTAGTTATTCAGGCTCCTTCCTGCCATCCTCAGGATAAACTGAGGCCTCTAGCCTCCAACCTCTATCACAACCAGAGAATAAGACCCCAGAGAGTAGAGACTGTGCTGTTCATGACAATCTTAAAGCTCCCCTTTTTGTTACAGAGGACAGAATCACAGGCTAACTCTCCGGCTGAGAATAACTAGAAAATTCAGGCTCAATATAAAAACCACATTTTTGAAGGTATCAGAGAGCAAATAAGTTGTCAAAGACCTGAAGAGCCAAGATACAGGAAATGAAAGAAAGTGAAAAAGTGAGCCCAGCATCTGGAGTTGTGCTTTCCCTAGAGGTGGGTGCATTACTGGAAGAGGTAAGTGGGAAGCTGAGCAACTAAATGGAGTTTAGGGCTTGCCAGGGAAGGAGAGCCTGATAATCCCCCAGGCTTTGGATTGGGACTCCAAAGGGCTATATCCTCAGAACAAAGGTGAATCAGAAATAGATTAGTCCACATGTGGAATAATGCCCAACTTAAAATCATCTCATTTCAATCTCTGATTAAATTAAAATAATTCAGGATTGCTAATGCCCTTTGCTACCTGTCAGATGCAAAGATAAGTCCTCTCTGGAAGACAAGAAAAACATCCAGAGTCTTTAATTACTTCAACAATTTTTCATATATGTCTGACATGCAATTAAAACTAGCCAGATATACAACAGAACAAAATGTGATTTAAAAACAAGAAGTAATGTAACAGAAAGAGACCCGTGGGATCCCATTAATGGAGTTATCAGACATAAACTTTAAGAAAACTATGCTTAGGTTATGCAATAAAATAAAAGGTTGAAGTTTTCATCAAAGAATTAGAAACTCTAAAAATGAACCAAATAGAAATTCAGTAACTGAAAAAAAATAACTAGAAATAAAAACTCAGTGAGTTGGCTTAACAACATATTAGATACAGCTAAAGAGAGAATAGGTAAACTAAAAGATAGTCCAGACTAAGAGAAAAATGGAAAACACAGATAAGTGCATAACAGACAAAATAGGGGATATGGTAAAGAACTCTTACAAATGTGTAACTAGAGTCCCAGAAGGAGAGAAGAGAGGAAATAGGACAGAAGAAATATTTAAGGAAGACTACAAATTCTAAACAGGATAAACACAAAGAAAACCAATAGGTATAACAGCAAAAACTGGTGAAAACCAATGACCAAAAAAAAAGAAAAAAGTTTAAAAGCAACAAGATAAAAAAAAAAAAAAAAAAAAGCTTGGAGCACCTGGGTGGCTCAGTTCGTTAAGCATCCGACTTTGGCTCAGGTCATGATCTCACGGTTGGTGAGTTCAAGCCCCACATCAGGCTCCGTGCTCAGAGCTCAGAGCCTGGAGCCTGCTTTGGATTCTGTCTCCCTCTGCCTCTGCCCCTCCCCCACTTGCACTCTGTCGCTCCAAAATAAATAAACGTTTAAAAACTTAAAAAAAAAAAAAAAAGCTTAAATGCAAAGAAGCAACAATATGGCTAATGGTGATTTCCCAACACCGTAACTACAATGGAAGTCTGAAGACTATAGAATGACATATCCTTTTAGTGCTAAGAGAAAAGAACTACCAACAACAGAATTCTCTACCCAGCTTCAAAAATGAAGAAATAAAAACATGTTCAGACAATCAAAGACTAATAAATTTCATCATTAACAGACTTGCACTAAAGGAAATACTAAGGGATATTCTTCAAGCAGCACATAAATGATCTGAGATAGAAGCTTGGAGATATGAGAAGAAATGAAAAACAACAAATACATACAGTAAGTCTTTCAGGCTAAAATGGACAACAACTGAACAAAACAATAATGTTATCACTGAGTAATGTATAGAATTGTTGAATCACTAGACCGTATACCTAAAACTAATATAACACTATATGTTAACTATATTGGAATTAAAATTTAAAACTTAACAAAAACAATGATGTTATACCATCCTGGTGATGTTAAAATATTTAGAGAATGAAAATACATGTTAATAATTCTATAAGTGAGCGATTAGTGGAAAACAGAGTTAAAGTGTTGTAAGAACTTTGCATTGTTCTAGAAGAGGTAAAATATGAATTTACATTAGATTTCAACAAGCCAAGAATGCATATTTTACTCTCTAGTAGCTCTTCTCAACCAGAGAATTAAGGCCTAATGTAAGTTTTCACGGTATGTAATGACTTAGCTTCTTGCCTGTGCATCTAGAAAGGGTCCGAGCTATGTGCCATCCTCCAGTGAATTGCAAAACTAGTCACTCAAATTCCTTATTGTGGGGCTTAGTTCCCTCCAATTAATCCAGGTAAGAAAGGCTGCTTGGGTAATTACTAAAGGAGTAATAATTAAGTAAATAAATAAGAATAAGGAATAAACAAGTATATAAAGAATATATTAGTAAAGGGGGGAAATGGAATGACAAACCCAATCAATCCAAAGTGGGAGAAAGGAGAGGTAGCGAAGAACAGAAGAGGCAATATGGAATAAATAGCAAAAAGTAGAGGGCAGAGTTAAACCCAAGTATATCAGTAATTGCATTAAATGTAAACTGTATCAATGCTCTAAAAGACAAAAGTTGTTAGAACAGGTAATAACAAACACCAATTATATGCCACTTGAAAGATACACCTTAAGGGCTAAAAGTAAAAAGATGGAAAAGATACACATCGCATCTTCCTCCCCACAACACTAACCAAAAGAAATCTAAATATTTCACAAAGTAGGAGCAGCTGGGTGGCTCAGTCAGTTAAGCATCCAGCTCTTGGTTTGGGCTCAGGTCATGATCTCATGGTTGGTGGGATTGAGCTCCATGTTTTGTTTTGTTTTTTTTTTTTTAACGTTTATTATTTTTGAGACAGAGAGAGACAGAGCATGAACGGGGGAGGGTCACAGAGAGAGGGAGACACAGAATCTGAAACAGGCTCCAGGCTCTGAGCCGTCAGCACAGAGCCCGATGCGGGGCTTGAACCCACGGACCGTGAGATCATGACCTGAGCCGAAGTCGGACGCTTAACCGACTGAGCCACCCAGGCGCCCCTCGAGCTCCATGTTTTGAACTCGGAGGCTGCTTGAGATTCTCTGTCCCTCTCTCTCTCTGCCCCCCCACCCCTTCCCTCCACTCATGCTCTCTCTTTCTCTCTTGAAATGGAATGAAATAAAATAAAATATTTCACAAAGTAGATTTTAAGAGGCAAAAAGAGGGGCACCTGGGTGGCTCAGTCGGTTAAGCATCCGACTTCGGCTCAGGTCATGATCTCACAGTTTGTGAGTTCAAGCCCCACATTGGGCTCTCTGCTGTCAGCACAGAGCCTCCTATGGATCCTCTGTCTCCCTCTCTCTCTGCCCCTCCACCACTCACGCACATGCGCGTGCTCTCTCTCTCTCCAAAATAAATAAACACCAAAAACAAAGAGGCAACGGGGTGCCTGGGTGGCTCAGTCAGTTAGGTGTCGGACTTCGGCTCAGGTCATGATCTTGCAGTTAGTGAGTTCAAGCCCTGTGTCGGGCTCTGTGCTGACAGCTCAGAGCCTGGAGCTTGCTTCAGATTCTGTGTCTCCCTCTCTCTCCGCCCCTCCCCTGCTCACGCTCTGTCTCTGTCTCTCAAAACATGAATAAACGTTAAAAAAAATTCTTCTTAATAAAAAAAAAGATGCAAAAAGACTAGTAAAGATAAAAAGAAACATTTCACAATGATGAAGTGTCTAATCCACTTCTAAATGAGTATGCATTGCATCAAAATGTGTAAAACAAATACTGACAAAAAACTAAAATAGATAAAACCCCAACCTTAGATTTCAACATATATATGTTTGTATTGACAGGACAAGTAAACATCTCTATATCCCAATGCCTAGCACAAAATCTGACCCATATCAGAGGTGACAATTTGCTGACCTAAAATGAAAGAGATTCACACATCCTAGATTTTCATAAGCAGTCTCAATTTCAAGTATAAAACTGTCTCATTGTCTCCCCTAAGTGCATTTATCCATAAGTTTGGCTTGGAAAATATAAACAGTATCTCGCAGGTTGCTTGAATCCCTCCTATACTACCATGACCTCCTTTTCCCATAGGGTACTAGGCCCCCGGGAGCACACAGGTACTATAGGTGTTTGCAGGGGGAACCCCCTCATACCTGAGCTGGAGCATCAGCCCCAGGAATACGGGTGGACCGCCTGCGGGTGACAATGACTGACGGCTTGTGTTCAGCGGGGTTCTGTTCGGGACCCTTTCCATCCTCATCAACACCTCCAGCTTGGGCTGCCTCAGTTGGGTCCACAGTCCGCACAGGCACAGACACTGGGATGATGAGGGGTACCATCCCGCTGTCCTCTCGTGCTCGCTTGGCAGCTAAGGAAGGCTCAGAAAACTCCACCCCACACTTGGTGGTTGAAGCCAGCACACTTTTCCGCTTCTCCTCAGAGCCACTGGCATCCTGGAGAAGGAGAGGGAGGGGGAATGAAGGTAAGACTTAGAAGATAAGTCCTAATAAGCCCAGGACCCCTAGTCGCATTTGATTCAGGAACCCATAATGGTTCCCAATGGTCTTTCCCTAAATACCTTTTCTCTCATCGCACTCCCAAATACTCTCCATAACCTCCCTCTGCCAGGTCCTCCAATCCTGGCCTGGTGCAGCGGTCTTCAGATGACCATCTTGGGCCACAAGGGGCTTACAGATGTGTTTCGTTTGACCTGCACAGTGTGTGGCACATGCAATAGTATCTAAATTCAAAACCTATTTCTGCAGGGGCGCCTGGGCGGCTCAGTCAGTTAAGCATCTGACTCTTGATTTCGGCTCAGGTCATGGTCTCACAGTTCAAGAGTTCGAGCCTTATGTCGGCCTCTGTGCTGTGTCAGTGTGGAGCCTTCTTGGAATTCTCTCTCCCTCTCTCTGCCCCTACCCCACTCATTCTCTCTCAAAATAAATTTTAAAAACTTAAAAAAAAAACAACAAAAAAACCTTATCTCTGCAAAAGAAAGTAAACAAGGAACTTTTTACAAGGTAATGATGGTCTTTGTATCTTTTCCCCATTGGAAACTGCCTGAAGTCAAGTTCTGTAGCTTCTGACAATCCAACCTTGCTGTAGGCATTGGGGGTGGGGGGGGGGGGTTGAAACCTCCAGTGAAGGAGGGGAAAACACTGGCTTTGGAGTCAGATGCCAGGCCTTTATCTTAGCTTTATAACCTTGGAAATCCTCCATGGGCCTCAGCACCCTGTCGTAGGGTTTGATGATAAATTACTTCTCTGATCAAGTGTAAGAAACTCCACGTACAAGAGAGGTGCTCAAATTCTATTCATTCTTCTTCCCTGTTGTTACTGTCCTTTCTTTTAAATCAGCTTTATTGCCAGTAAAATTCACATACAACAAAATGCACCTATTTGTCATCAGTTCGATGCATTTTGGCAAGTATCATCACCTGTGGAAACCACTGCCACTGTCTCATTTTAGGATACTGGATCCGGCAATGGTTTCACCTTCCTCAACTCCCAATCCTTCATGTGCCCAATGAAGAAGCCAACCCATGACAGTGTTTTGCACCTTCCTGCCTGCAAACCTTTCATCTTTCCTTCAGGTATGAATGCACCTACGTAGAGATTCTTTGCATGGAGGGAGTTTAGAACTTCCTGAAGCATATGGGTTCTTTCATTTCCTTCAGTGAAGAAGAAAACCACCCCGTAGACCTGGAGTCACTTGCTTGCCCCTGGCCGCAGACACAGCTCACCCGGCCCTCTGCCAGGCCAGGCCTCCATCCCACGCCACTCTCACCTTTGCGTTCTGCAGTGAGGCCAGCTCCACTGCCTTCTGGGCCAGGGTCAGCAAATTGGCCTCCTGGGATGCCCGGCGCCTCCGTCGAGTGCTCTGGATCACCCCACCCCGTAGCACCTGCCCACAGTCCCCCGTGCCCACTGCCCGCATGCCCTCTTCGTTGCCCATCGTGGGAGCCTCCCGCTCCCGACCGTTGGGTGCCAGTCTCTCCCCATCAGACAGCAACTGCGACTCCCTCAGCTCCAGCGGGAATCCCAGAGCTTCAGAATGGGGGTGCCCCAAGGGCCCGGGTGGTGGCTGCTGTGGGGGCCAGTGATGTAGGAATAGGTTGCTGGTGGGCTCCTGTCCAGGCTGGGTGCCAGCCACATCCAGAGGGGCAGAAGGCAGGACACCCTCCTTCGAGAGGCGGCGGGAGCGGCGGGGGAAGGCGATCTGGGACTGAGGTAGCACAGGCTGTGGGGCTGACTCCTGCAGGAGGGCCTTGCGCAGTTCTGGGTTCATATCAGGGTTGGGGGGGAAGGGGTAGGGCGCCATGCTGTGGTGAGCCAGGTGGGATTGCCCCAGGGGTCCGGCCGGCTGCAGGCCAAAGTCCTGGGGCTGCTGAGAGGGTGGCTGCTGCATGGGATAGAAGTTCTCAAAGAGCTGCATCTGGGGAAGGGCGGCCTGTTGCTGCTGCTGCTGTTGCGGCTGCTGCTGCTGCGGCTGCTTCTGCGGTGGAAAAGCCGCAACGGGATTGGGGGGCGGTGGGCCCTGCCGGAAGACCTGCCGGTTCACCTGGTGGCCGAACGCCAGCTGGAAAGGTTGCAGGGGCAGTGTCTGGTTTGGGGGCTTCTTGGCCACATGGAAAGAGTTCAGGGGCGTCTGGGGCCGCCCTACCTCCAGCTGCACCTTCTGTGGCATCATCGGCCGCACGGCATTTCCGTAGCGGTCCAGCTGCGGTCCGCCTCCTTTCTCCCGCTTCAGTGCCTCGGGGTGGCTGTAGTAGGTAGAGACCCCCATGCCAGGATGAGGGCTCCCCTTGGGTCCGCTGTAGAGGGGCAGGCTGTGGCGGTTCCATGTCGAGTGGGGTGGAGGCTGGCCTGGCTGCTGCTGCCAGCCACTGTCACTGACACCCCCACCGCCTCCACGCTCAGGGCCCCGCCCTGGAGCCATCACAGAGTTGGGCCACTTGACCGAGCCCACCTGCTGGGACAACATGGCCGCCGTGGTCCGCTCGGAACCATACACCACAGAGTTCAGCAGGGCCAGGCTGTTCGGAGGGGGTAGCTCCACAGGCTGGGAGACAGGGGCGGCCCCTGCCGGACCCTCGTGCCCAAAGTAAGGCTCCTCCTTCACTCTGGTGGACTGTGGAGGGGCTGGGGGCTGCTGTGGGGCCTGCAGGGATGGGGGCTGCTCCTTGGGAGCTGGCTCCTGGTCCCCAAAGAGGCAACGCTTCCGTTTGTTCTGAGCCTTGGGCTGGGCCTGGAGGTTCATGGTGTGGCCAACTGGGCCCCAGCAGTGAGCCCTACTTCACCAGCTGCCCATCCCCTGTGGGGATGTTCTGCTGGAAGCCCAGCTCTAGTCCAGGAGCCAGTGGGGGCAGAACAGGGGGAGGGGAAAGTGCTGGGGGGTGAGGTCAGGCACAGGGCGAAAGAACTGTTGGCTCTTCCTTGCTCTTTGTAGGATGGCTCTTGGGCTCCTCTACTCTTCCCAGTTCATGATGTTCCACAGGACCCTGGAGCCTGCAGACAGAAGAACAGGGACAGTGTCAGCCATAGCCTCCCAGGATGCTCCGGATGTTAGCACAGGTATGAGAGATGGACCCAAGTTCACAGAGCAGCACAGGTGAGGCAGGAGCCAGAACCTTGGGGGAACTACCAGAAGGCAGCGCTTTGTGACTCTCTGTGTCCCACCACCTCACCCTGCAGCATTTGGTTGTGTAATCTGTACCCGGCACAAAGGCACCACCCTGGGAACAAGTGGGGCTGAGATCCAGTCAGAGCCCCTGTAGCCAAGATGGGAAAAGGAGTGACAAAGGCCACGTTGAGCTCCCATCTCAGTTGACTCCCCTTGCCCAGTTGGTCGAGCACATCTGTCCATGCAGTAGCCTCCCCACCAGACCTAGAAGGAGCTTTATGCAGCCAATGCCTCCTTTGATGCTCTGAGCTTATCTCAAGCACAGGAAGTAGAGACAACAGGGGTCATTCCTAACTAACCATGTGGCTCCAGGGTGGGAGCCCACCAAGTCCTTGCAGAGTCCAAGGCCCAGGGCTAGGCTCACGTCCTTTGCACTGAGGCATGTAGGTGAGGCCCTAGAAGGGTATGTGCAGTTCTAGCCCCACCCCTGGGAGGAGCTGCAGGGTGGGACCGTGGCTGCCAGAGCCTTCCCTAAACCAGCACAGAACCTGTTTTGCAGCCCTGGCTGGCTGGAGGCAGGATCCAGCCTGGTAGCCGGTCAGCAATCCCCACCTACCCTCCTCCTCCACTGCCAAAGAGCTCCCGATCAAAGGACTAGAGTAACTACGATACTGAGGGGATGCAGATTGCTAGAATTTAGATCTGGAGGGATTTTCCTATGACATAGTGTGAGTTAGAGTGCTCAGAGTGTCTGTGGTTATTTTCTAACTTGATTTAAAAAACAAAACAAAACACGTTGCTCTATTTATCCTGCTACAGGACAGTCAAAATGAAGACCAGTATTTTATAACTTACATGTATTTTCAAAGACTTTGTCTTTCTTCAGAGAGGGTTTTTTTTTTCCCCCTCCCTGGGAAGTTGGTGAGGGTGGGAGCTACATGGCCTACTTCTTCCCCACGAGATTCTGGTCCCGAGCCAGTCAGGCCAGGAAGGGAAGGGAGGGGAGCTCAGGAAGCCCTGGGGAATAAATCTGCAGGTCCGGACCAACCTCAGACCTCAGACCCTAGAAGCTCCAGGTCCTAGTTAGCAGTCCCAGGGGTTCCCAGGAAATCAACCCAGCCAAGAAGGGCCGGGCGGTAAGAGCAGGCTTGCAGTGTGAGGCCTCCTATCACCCGTTCACAGGCTTCCGCAGCTCCCCAGCCCTTCCCCTCCTGAGCGGCTGTGACTCACTCCAGCCCCACCACCACCTGCCTTTCACTTTCACCAGCACCCAGAAGGGGAGGAACTTCCTCCTCCATTTCCTTTCTCAGCTCTGGGCCCTGAAGTAAGTGAGAGAGAGAGAGAGAGAGAGACAGACAGACAGACAGACAGACTCTTCCCGCTAGCACCCCCTTTGTCTTCACTTATGCGAGCCTGGGGAGGGAGAGAGACTAGGTGGGCATCCAAGAGGTCCTGGCCCTGGTAGCAGGGGGACAATTTGGAGCAGTGGGAGCTCAGAGGACCAGCTTTAGAACAAACTCCTTTTTTTTTTTTTTTTTTTTTTTTTTTTACCTTTAAACTCTCATTCCCTGACGGCCAACCCAATTCAGAGCAAAGACCCAAAAGCCAGGCCCCCCTCAATGAAAATAATAACCCCCGGCACCATGGTGAAGCTGCAGGCTGGGACTGTCCTAGCTACGGGAGTCAGGCTCTGCCTCGCCCAGCAGCAAGAACAAACTAGAAGTATGTGTCTGCAGAAGCAAGGCAGAGGAAGGAAGAATGTGCTGAGGGGAGGGCACTGAGGGGGAGCTGGAAGGTCCATGTGCCTCCAGGGGACCTGAGAACCCCTCAGGTGCTCACATGCACTTGTGCATCCCCTGGTCCTACAGGCATAGACTGCCCTCCTACCCCAGTCACAGCCCTCTTGCCTTTGAGCCACAGCAATGGGCTCGGAGACTGGAGGAAGGGAAGGACCACGTGGCAGATGAGCCTGGGTGTACGTGCGTGCGAGTGTGCACCTTGTGGAGGGTACCAGGCACCAGGCGCGGGGGGATGGCCACTCAGAGCCTGGGGGAGGGGAAGCTCTGCACACTGGGTTGGGTGAGATGGAAGCGGAGTCTGTGAATAATGCTCCAGGGCAGGGCTGCTCCTGCCCTGGGCCCCACGCTGGCTCACCAGCAGCTGTTTGGTGAGGCTGGTCTGCCTCCTCCCACCCTGCACCCTGTGCAATGAAGGACGATCACTCAGGACACCACAGTAGGTTTCTAAAGCTAGGCTGGGAACTTGCTTATAAGAAACCAAGGGGGCAAATTCTGGGGAGGCTGAATCACCCCAGAAGCTTCTGCAGAGTCCTTTCCGTCACCCCTACTGGAAGGCTAAGAGTGCCAAAAGCACAGAGACCCAGACCTGGGACCCACAGAGCAGAAAGGTCATTATCTGGGGTGATGAGGAGAAGAGTTAAAGATGCCTGGGACTCCTAGAGGAAGGTGGGGAAAGGACACACCAAGGCAGCAGGGCCCTAAGTAGTAGTAATAATAGTAATAATAGTAGTAGTAGTAGTAGGATGATGATGATGATGATGATGATGATGATGATGATGATGATAAAATGCACCTGTGCCAGGTCTGTCCTAAGTGCTCTGCATATGTCCAGTTCCCACAACAGCACTGTAAATCAGCATGAAGCCCAAGCATGAAGCATTGTTATTTTAACCTCCTCTCCAGCCCCTGCAAGCTCACCCCTGCCTCAGGTCTAGCTGCTGCTGGTGGGGCTTCCAGCTCTCATACCCTACGCGTACATCACAGCTCGCAACGCTGGACAAGACTGAGCCACTTCCTCTCATTTCTTGTGCCCCAGCCCCACTTCTCTGTTCCTCAGGTGGAAGTCGGCCTGTCCTTCCTCACAGCGAGGAAGAGGAAGGACGCCATCTGTTCCGAAGGCTGCAGACCTGTGGGCCAACTCCCTGAAGGTGCAGGGAAGAGGGTGTAACGAGGAACCTCTGTAGGCAGCTCACCCTGGGACCAGCTGCAGGGTCTCTAACAGCGGATGCAGGAACACTGCAAAAGGAAACCCACAGTCACCAAGGGGCCCCAGACAGTACAACCCACTCTTATCAGTCTGGTTGTCTGTCCCGGCTGTATTCACTCTCCTTTCCGCTGGGCACTGCACTGTTGCAACCAATCCCTAACCAGACCCGGTGATATACCCCTGGACAGAAGACAAGGCAAGAGTCTGACATCAGTGACCAGGAACCTATGAGGCTTTCAGGAAGATCTGTGGTGGAAAGCACTTTTTCTCTATAGAAGAAAGCAATGTGCACCAAGAAAAGGAAACAGTGCTGAACCCACATATGTATTTTGCAGACACGTGAGAGAAGGTGCTGGAAAGGCCTCTGGGAGTTCTATGCTGATGGTGACACCATACCCTCCAGGGAGGGCAACTAGAACACATACAGCTCCCTGAGTACCCTCACCAGCCCTGCCACATGCCCGCAGAGGGGACCAAGGCCACTCCCAAGCTGGAGATACTGCATACTGCCATCTGAGAGACAAGACCGTTGTGAGTCAAGGTTCCACAGGCCAGGACTAGCTTGTCCCAGCAGCTGCAGGGGCTCAGCTCTGACCCAGGGATCAGAGTTGACTGCAAGTCCCTCCTGACCTTTATTGCTAAAACTCCTCGCTGCTGCTCTTACAACCGAGGCCACTTCCCACCCCACCAAGTCAGCACTAGGAAGACGGGGAGTCAGAGCTCATGCATCCCTAACCAAGGCAAAACAGACCTAAAAACAGCATCTAACAAGGCTCCAAATCTCTAGGCCAGCCAGTTCCCAGAGCACCAGACAGGCTATCTTAGGACAAAGTCTAAACTATCCTGCCCACGAGTCTTGCAGACTTTGGCTCCTGCCAGCTCTCTCAACCTGCCATGCTTGAGCCGTCATTCAGTGCTGTTCCTGCTTTGCTTCCGGGTCTTTGGCCAGGCAGCACCTCTGCCTAGGACACCTTCCACCCTTTCATCTGGCCAGGTCCTACTTGTCCTTCAGGTCTGAGACACTGCTTCCTCTGGGAAGTCCTCCCTCACCCCAAGGCTTAGCCAGAAGCTTCACTATGAGCCCACAACACCTCCCAACCACCCCCCCCCCCCCCCCCCCCACCAACACTCAGCACACTAAATTCCAGGTGCCTATTTCTATTTCTTTGTCCCCAGCAGACTGCAAGCTCCATGGAGCAGAGTTTGCAGACTGTTGTACCTTGGCATTTAGCTTGTATCTGCCTCTTGGGATGCTCATTCAAGACTGCGCCCAAGGTGAGTCAGAGCTCTGCCCGGGCAGAGGCACGACTCATGGCCCGCACGTCCACCCTGGGCTCCTGCTCAGCCCTGACTTCCAGTCTCTCTCCCTGATGCACATCAGAGATCTCCATGATGCTGAGATGAAGTGAAAAGGTCCCGCCTCCTAACCCCATCCCACCCCATCCCATCAGTCGCCTCAGGCCCTCTCCAACCCTTCTGAGCACAAATTCTTCTCTAATTGCTGGCCCACAGGCTACTTTGCCCCTTGACTGCCACTTGCTGCCCCACACCACATGCAGGTCAACTTGGGAAAGTGCCAGCCCCTCTGTTGTCCCGTCCAATTTTTCTTTCCCCATGGCTTCCCACCCTTA